ATAGACAAGTTTTCTCTTTGCAGCTCCATGACACAACAGCTGCTGACATCATGACTTCTAAATAAACTGCATTAATACATTTCAACACATTTTGCTGAAACAGAACCATTTGGAGAAATACCAAACCTAATCTCTAATATAATAATAATAATAATAATAATAATAATAATAATAATAATAATAATAATTAAATGTTACTGATTTTTCTTCAGTTTTTCCACTAACTGGGAGAGTTGTTACTTGTTATTTAAGAGAAAAATAGAGTACTCTTCTATTTTTACTGTCCCCCATCATGAGCAGCCTACTGGTTTGGCCTGACACATCTGGGATATATTGTTCCCTTCGGGCTCTCCTTCTCGCCCAGCCTGCACACATGAGTTCAGAAATACAGAACTGTATCCATCAGTCGTGGCCAACAGCTCACTTTATGTCCACCGGGAGCAGGTAGGTGTCATTTCCTGTTCACGTCTTCACCTGCCACATGTCGCTACCAACTAAGATATTAGGATCAGATAAAGGAGGAAAGGACTCCGGCCTTTACGGCATCTTTTTAGAGGGATATTTAAAAACAAGCAGCGTTGCAGAAAAGAGGACTTATATAGGAGCTGTTACAGATTTAGATTTATAAATAAATTGGGTAATTATTTTAAATTATGGCCCAGACACTTAAAAAAGTTGCAAACTTACTGACCGTGCATACATTGTGTCATTATGTAGTTTATTTTTATGGCATAAGTAATAAATGTAAAAGCATTTATACAATGGCTTGCTTTTCTTCCCCTAGAATTACTGTGCTGCAGGAAAAATTAATTACTTTGCACAGTTAAAGTAGTCCACATCACGAAAAATGTTAACATAAATGGTTCTCAATAAAGCCAAAGAAGCAAATAGGGTGAACTCAACAATTTTTGTTTGATTATACTAATTACACATTAAAGTAGAAGGAAATTCTTTCATTGTCTGATGCCTTGACTTTTCAGAATTATGTTTTGTATRGTGGTATTAATTTATATTTTCAGAACTTCCAAGGTGCCAATTATGGAACTCTCTGTGCATTGTTGCCCAAATCAAATTCTGGAAGTGGTCATTCAACTAGATCTGTTACAAAAGGACAACTGATATTACCAACTTTTAAAAACTGTTACRGCCAGAGGTCTTTCTTCTATGTTTATACTAAAGCATGGAATGACATTCCTCAAAACATAAAGTCCATTTCAAAACTACAGCCCTTTAAGAAGAATCTTGTCTGCCATCTGCTGGACACTTTTTGTTGTGCTCATATTTAGACGTCCTATTTTGCAAATGCTGCCTTCCTGAAATTTGGTATGCTTGTTTGTCTTTGTGTCTATGGTGTATAACGATGTGATTGTGATGCTGTAATTCTGAGTGTTTTATGTGCTGCAGAACAGGAACCTGCTGTAAAACAGCAATTATGCTGAGTCAGGCTTGATTTTTAGTAATCTTTTCCTGTTAAATAAATAAATCAAATCAAATCAAATAATCAATGAGAAAACCAGTATATTTTTGTTTTAACAGTACTGATTACGGATTGATCATAAACTCTTTCAGCTCACTGTTTCCTGCAGCTAATCCTTCACTGAAAACATGTAAGGCCCAACAGAGCGTGAACACAATGTTACACAGCTGTCCACTATTAGTGAAAGTCCCATGACCTAGACGTTTTAATCCCTGCCCAGACATGTTGAAAAGCCTCCTATTGAGCAAAATGATTAACTTCAATCTCTTTATGTACAGAATACATGAGAGTAACACACAAAGACAAACACACACACAAAAAAAATCACATTTATAAAGTAAACGTTACAAAGAAGACAAAGAGATTAATGGTTTTATTGATGGTAGATTAGTGTACTTCAGTCTGGATTTGCTCCGAAATTCAGTTTGATATTATTTTTCAGGGTTGCATTATGAGGTACAATCTGATAAAACTGAGGGTGAACAATCCATGTATCTGTATCAAACCAATCAATACAGTGCTCTAGGTTCAATACACACAATCTGTGTTCGACTACTCCACCTAGGCTGCATTGTCGAGCACAGATCCACTGAGAAACTTGCTGTTTCAGCAACATTTAATTTAAAAACTGTAATTTTGAGGTTAAACAAATGTTCATAATTAATTTCAATAAATAACAAGTTAAGAAGTACATGGACATTTCTCTTTTTTGTATTAAAAAATACTGAAGCCATGACACTAAAGTATCGAACCGAACAGAAACATTACTTTTCTGTATTGTTGCACCTCTAGTTAAAACGTCATCTAATTCAGAATTTATTGCATTTATCTTCTTTGCTTATGTTGCAAAAGCTACAGTTTTAGTGTCATCAATGCTTTACAACTTCTTGTTGTAAAACCTTTAAATGCACTTGATGCTTTTTAATGCTTTAAAGAGTAACTTACCCCAAAATTAACTTTTTTTAGCTGATAAACTGTCTAGAATGTGTCTAAAATGTTACATAGTAGTGTTTGTGTTAATTTTGATGTTTTTGTGCATATTTGTCCAGATCTGTAATATTTGGTCTAAAAACGCCTTTTTGCTGCTCATATGGGTAGAGCAGTGGTCCTGCAGGCTAATTTCATATTGGTTAACGGCGCTCCACGGTGACGTGTCTTCTCCACAGTTTCGTCACAGCGGCTGTGTTCTGGTATAAAAGCCTCTCTCTAAGACACRCCCCTGCAGCAGTCAGAGGGTGGAACAGTTAGCAAGCTTAGCATGATCGTCTGTTGACCTTCAGCCTCG